GCCAGCCTCCAGATTCCTCACTGAGATGACCCCATGGGTGATGCCTTTCTGGCCTTGGCTATTAACTGCTCAGGCATTACACTCCTTGGGTATTTATTTACTTTTGCTGTAGGGCATGTGTGCTCACCAGAGAGAGCTGGAGAAAGAGAGAGAGAGGGAGGGGGAGAGGGAGAGAGAGAAGTCACCCTCCCCCCCAAGTGGATGACCACACCCTGATCCCTTCTTCTCCATTCTCCCCAGGATTCTGGGCATGCATGTGTGCCAGGTGTGAGTTTCAAGCTTCTGCATCTAGGACTAAAATCACATCATCAGCCATGTTGGATTCAGTGCCTTAACCTCTGTGCCACCTGCTAGCCCTCCCTTGGGTCTTTATTTCATTCCTGGGGGTTCAGATGACATGTTCCAATTGTTATTTCATCTTTTTCCCTCTGGGTGAGATAGGTTTTACACCCCTGTTTTTCCAGATCTCTGGCAAAAGAGCTCTTTAAATGCTTAATTCCAAGAGTACAGTACACGCCATCTAGAGGGCCACCTCAATAGCCTGGATTGCGGCAACCAGATCCACACGGCAGACCGTGCGCTTCAAGTCCCAAACTTGTTGGCTTGAGAAAGACCAGGCACATGTGCGTGTGGGCCCAAAATCTGTAAAGGAGGAATAAACGGAGGAGGAGGGATTGTGGCGTGACCATGCCCCATGCGGGCTCTTCTCCCTCTCTCTCTGTCTCTCTTTGACAATGCCCTCTAGTTAAAAAAAAGAGGGACCAGCAGTTAGCATAATGGCTATGTCGCTGGACTCCTGTGTAGTCAACCGCAGTTTGCATCCCGAACCTGGTGGCTTAAACTCACGCCGGGCGCGTGTGCGTGCGTGCCCAAGATCCTGAGAGGAGAATGGAGGAGAAGGGATTACGGTGTAGTCATTGCCCCCTGGGGGGTGATTTCTCACTTTCTGTCTCTCTGTCTGTCTCTCTCTCTGGTGAGCTCATGTGCCCTATAGCAAAAACCTAACAAAAAAAAAAAAAAAAAAAAAAAAAAAAAGAAAAAGGAAAAAAAAAAGAGAGAGAGAGAGAAATAGAGTCTATCCTATACGTATGGCAACACTGACAAAGAAACAGCTGCCTTCCTGGAAGAAAGCTGTGGAAGGTGGGAAGAAGGCTGCCTGGGCATCATCCTCTTTTCAGCTCAGCCCTCTTCCTGCCTCCAGGCAAAATCAGCTGCCGCCTTCTCTCTGATCCTCACCACTCTGAACGTCCTCTGTTGTAGCACGTGGCCCCTGGGTCCTGTTCTTTGTGTGTTTGTTAGGGCCTCAGGGAGCCTAGTCACCTGCAGTCATTCAGTGTGTGTTTATTTATTTTATTTTTTACTGTTTTATTTTTGGAGAGGTTTTCGTTATAGTGTGCACTCACCAGAAAGAGAGAGACAGAGAGACAAAAAGCGAGAAATCTCCCCCCAGGGGGGATGGCCATGCTGCAATCCTTTCTCCTCCATTCTCTTCTCGGGCCCTTGGACATGCATGCACACGCGCCCGGCATGAGTTTAAGCCACCAGGTCTGGGACTTGAACCGTGACTGGCTACATGGGAGACCAGCGACATAGCCATTATGCTAGCTGGTGGTCCCCAGTGTGTGTTTACTGATTGAGTGATGAGTGCCAGGCTTTGCAAACCTTTTTAGACCTTGGGAGAATTTGCTTATGTCCTTCGGGCAGGACTGCCCTGGTGCCGGATGGTTCTGCTTGTGTTCATCGGGCTTCTCCCTAGTGCCCCTGCCAAGATAGAGTCTTGGTTCTACTTTTTTTTTTTTTTTTTTTTTTTTTTTAAAAG